TTCATTCAAGTCATAAAGAAGATGAAATTATGTCATTTGTAGGAAAATGAATGGAATTTCAGGGCATTCTGTTAAAATAAGTCAAACTCAAAAAATTAAAAATGATTACATTTCCTCTGATAGGTGGAAGCTACAGAGGAAAAAGGAAAGAAGGGGGGGGGGGAATCTCATGGAATTGAGTACAAAAACTCCAGATCTCTGCAATCACACCTCCATAACTTTCCCACTCTTTTTATGGAGCCAGTCCTTGATCTTGGAATAACTTACCACAGGTCCCTGGATCTCAGGTCCTTCCTCCACCGACATAGGCAAGGCTGTCCCCAGTTTGTTAAATACAACTGAGGTCTTCACGATTTTCCCTTCAAAGTCTGTACAGGCAGTAAAAACTAATTGTAGAACCGGGCTGAGGGACGGAATTACCCTCCCAATTAGTCCCAGAGGCCTCTTTCCGTTTTCTTCCTGGACTAAATGTACAAGCGCCTGACTTCTGCTCTTGGGTCCCCCTCCCCAGTCTCGAGATCCCCAGCCTCCAACCCTTCCAAGTTGGGCCCTCGGCTGGAACAAATGCCTAGGATCTTCTCACCCCGCACATTGATGGAAAAGCCACAGCGAATACAGGTGACCGCATCCTGAGCCCCAGGCAGAGGCAGGACCGAGCCGCAATCCGGACAGAAATCCAAGTCTGACTGAAAGCTAGAGCAGGTACTGGCGTGGTCCATGATGGACAATAGGTCAAGAGCTAGGAAGGGAACGCAAAGTTTATTAATAAACCAACAATAAAGCGGAAACTCCTTCCAATTTAGGGATCATTCTTCTTCGGCCCCAGAACGCAGATACGGAGAACCCTCACCCTTCCCTCACACACGCCTCCTGCCTTGGTGACTAAGGAGCCGATACGCCCGGACTTCCCCGGCTGTTAAGGACTGAGGGACTTGTGACCTTTCTTGGGACCGGCAAAGGGACTCTCTAACTCCGTAGGCTAGAGCGCGGGTTGTGAGCCGACTGTGGAGCAGCGAGCGCGTGGTGTGCTAGAGCGTCAACACGTTAGCGTTTCGCTTGGCCCGTGACGTCATAATCAGTCGCGGATGTCATAATTAATCGCGAACCTTCTCCTGAATTAGGGAAGAAGCAGAACTTCTCCGACAGGTAGCTGTCTCAGTCCACGTTCGGCCGGAAACTGTGACGTCAAGTAAGAATCACGAGGAACCAGTGCTGGACCTCTAGGACTCAGTCCTGGGATTTTTTTTTTCCTGCTTTGTATCCTAAAGAGACCTAGTCACGGGGTGGGGGGTGGTCCCCCTAAAAACGTACTTTTTTTTTTTTTTTAACCGAATACCTACTCGATTGGGTTAGCGAACTACAACTCCTGTCGTTCCTCAGCGGGCACGTCTCTTTTGAGACTGCGCAGTGGTTAAAAACAAAGCTAAGCGTTCTGGGATTTGTAGTGTTGCCTGGGCCCTCCTAGCCTAGCCTAGGCTGCAGTCAGCGTGTGTCGTGTATTCTTTTGGGGGCAGTTCAGGGCATTTGGAAGGGGTGAGTCCATTTTTTAAGGGTCAGGGAATGGTGAGAGTGAAGAAAGAGGAAGATGCCTGGTCCCCGTGGAACGAAAGGAATAAGAGATGGAATGGGTCACTTGGGAAGGAGCTCAGGATTTGGAGGTAATGAACAGATGAGATGGGGCACTTTCTCCTAGGGTCCTGCCAGCTGAGGCTAGCATTAGTCAAGAGCGCCCCTTTGAAGCAGTTTGGAGATTCCTGGGAAAGCTGGGAATGGAACCACCATTTGACCCTGCTATTGCCCTTCTCGGACTATTCCCTGAAGAACTTAAAAGAGCATGCTACAGGGATGCTGCCATATCGATGTTCATAGCAGCACAATTCACAATAGCTAGACTGTGGAACCAACCCAGATGCCCTTCAATAGATGAATGGATAAAAAAAATGTGGCATCTATACACAATGGAGTACTATGCAGCAATAAAAAATGACAAAATCATAGAATTTGCAGGGAAATGGATGGCACTAGAGCAGATTATGCTTAGTGAAGCTAGTCAATCCCTAAAAAACAAATACCAAATGTCTTCTTTGATATAATGAGAGCAACTATGAACAGAGCAAGGAGGAAGAGCAGGAAGAAAAGACTAATATTTAACAGAGTCATGAGATGGGAGGGAAAGGGAGAGAAAAGGGAAATTGCATGGAAATGAAGGGAGACCCTCATTGCTATACAAAATTACATATAAGAGGTTGTGAGGGGAATGGGAAAATAAACAAGGAGAGTAATGAATTACAGTAGATGGGGTAGAGAGAGAAGAAGGGAGGGGAGAGGAGATAGTAGGGGATAGGAAAGGTAGCAGAATACAACAGTTACTAATTGGGCATTATGTAAAATTGTGGATGTATAACCAACGTGATTCTGCAATCTGCATTTGGGGTAAAATTGGGAGTTCATAACCCACTTCAATCTAATGTATGAAATATGATATGTTAAAAGCTTTGTAATGTTGTGAACAACCAAAAAAAAAAAAAAAAAATTTAAAAAAAAAAAGAGCGCCCCTTTGGTAGGATTTCATAAGACTTTTTTTTTTTTTGCTTTGTGACTTCTTCCATCCTCCCCTACTTTCTTTTTGTCCAACTCTGAATCATCCTTTTCATTCCTTGGGTGGCAGCTGACATTCCTCTTCCTTTTTATAAAACAATAAGTCTCTGTAGAAAATTTTTAGCCTATAGTGTAAATAGAAACTTGTCCCGAAGGGGCAGCTTCTAGATGAGTTTCCTAGTTCCATTTCAGCCCTCCCTGCACTATCCAATCTCATAGCAGTGTTAAGCTCCTTCATATAAAAGTTCTGAAGTCATTACCGTTTTCTCTTTTGAAGGACACAAGCTGTGGTCTTTCCTTAGGAAAGACATCTGTCTACATATCTCTGCAATATGACTTCATGGTGAAGGAGCTAAGACTCTTGGGAAGCTACTGTAGAATGACAAGCCCATATTCACTTAACTCTGGAAGTGTTATTTTGTTTTACAAAGGAGGTGTGTTGCCCATGATGATAAGCAAGTGTTTTTGTTTTCTTTCTGTCTTTTTTGATGACACTAGGGATTGAACCTAAGAACGTCTATCACTGAACTATAGTAACCAGTCTTTTTTATTTTTTATTTTGAGACAGGGTCTTGCTAAATTGCCCAAATTGACCTTGAACTTGGAATTCTTCCACCTCAACCCCCAGAATATATGGGATTACAGGTGTGCGACCACCACATTCAGTGGTAGGCAGTCTTTATTTTTGCTTTTCTGTGTGTCTTTTTCCTTTCAAAGTGGAAATTGAAATTAGTCATCCTTGTTCACATCTTGCCCTTTATAGTTTGATATCCAGCAAACACCCAGTATTTTAATACCTGCCTAATGCAATAAAAGAATACAAGCATTATAAGATATGGCTTTTTCTGAACAAAAGCTTACAATCTGCACATTATTTGTTAAACACCTATGCCAGGCTTTGAGCTGAGGTTAGGGCTGCAAAGTTGAAATCTGAGAACTTAGAACACAGTTGAAGCCTGGTGCTGTTGCATGTACCTAGTCCCAGCAACTTGGGAGACTGAGGCAAGAGAATTGCAAGTTTAAGGCCAGCCTGGGCAACTTAGTGAGACCCTGTCTCAAAATAAAAAATACAAAGGACTGAGGATGTAACTCAGTGGTAAAGTGCCCCTGGGTTCAATCATAAATACATATGAACAATACAATGAAAGTGCATTAATAAGTATAACATATGAGAGCCTGGATCAGACATAAAATAAACACTCATCAACTTTAGGGAAGATTGCTAAATGCTCTCATAAAAAGATGTAGACAATGTTATAGTGAATATTGAAAACCTATGTCAGGTTTTCAGTGAGGCTGGGACTACAAAGTTGAAACATGTTTTTACTAACACAAAAGAATAATTAGAGCACAATGAAAGTGCATTAGTAAGTACAAAATGGAAGACCCTGAGTCAGACATATAAACAAACATGTCTATAAACCTCAAGGAAGACTGGTAAATGCTTTAATAAAAAGTTAGGTAAATACAATATTATGGTGAATATAAGAAAAAGATTCTTAGATATTACGTGATGAGGTAATCAGCAACCAAATCAAGAGTTTTGAGAATTTGGAATTATAGACTAAGTACTGTATTAGATATGTACTGTATGAGTATGTACAAAAAAATGAAAGATGCCATTTTTATTAAATCTCAAGCTAGGTACACATAGACAAAAAAGAATGTGCTTTCAAAGTCTTCGAGACCACTAGTTGCAGTGGCACATGTCTGTAATCCCAGCAGATTGGGAGGCTGAGGCAGGAGGATGGGAAGTTCAAAGCCAGCCTCAGCAATTTAGCGAGGCCCTAAGCAACTCAATGGGACCCTAACTCTAAATGAAATATAAAAAATGGCTGGTATGTGGCTCAGTGGTAAGCACCTCTGGGTTCAATCCCCAGTACCAAAAAAAAAAATCAATGAGACCAAATATTAGATATCTCCTCCAATAATATAGGTAAGTCTTTATATTTTTAGATATAAATTATAGCTCCCATCTTTTATAAGCCTAAATTTCAAAATCAAAATATTAAAAGTCATATCACATCATAATATCACATCATAATGGAAATCATGGTTGATTTTCAAATGAGCTGTAGAAATAGTGTTTAGAGGAGGAAAATCACTGATGGAGTAGACCGGAAAGACTTCATAAAGAATGGAAGGTGGGGCTGGGAATGTGGTCAAGCGGTAGCGCGCCTGCCTGGCATTTGTGCGGCCTGGGTTCCATCCTCAGCACCACATACAAACAAAGATGTTGTGTCCACCAAGAAGTAAAAAATAAATATTGAAATTCTGTCTCTTAAAAAAAAATTAAAAAAAAAAAGAATTGGGGGTTTGGGGGTAGGGTTGTGGCTCAGTGGTAGAGTGATTGCCTAGCACACGTGAGGCACTGGGTTTTGATCCTCAGCATCACGTAAAAAATGAAATAAAGATATTGTGTCCATCAACAACTAAAAAAATAAATATTAAAAGAATCAGAGGCTTGACTTGTGAAGGACAGATAGCTACCATTTACCATTTACTGAGAACTTCCTATACATCAAGCATCATGTCAGTCTCTTTACATCTAATTTACATTTGTTTTTTTATCACCCCGAGAGGTAGTTTTTGGTCTTATGTCTTTTATAAATGAGGAAACTGACCTAGGGAGAAGTTAAATGAATTGTCCTGAGTCACATAACTAGGAAATAATGGAATTAAGATTCACTTTTAGCCTTGTCAGCCTCTAATATCCATGCCTTTAACCATCAGTGCTATAAAGGGCACAGAGATATATATCAGGCATCCTCAATCGCTTAAGTATGACCTCACAGTAAACTCAGGCTAGACACATAAACTCAGGGACAACACATAAAAAGTTGGTAGTCTTCACTTGTGTTGCTGTCAGCCTGCACTATAAGTAAACCAGAGTAACCGTAAATTCCCGTCCTGCGGGCTTCAACTGGGAGTGGTCTCATAATGCCTTTAGGGTGAAGGATGATTGCCAACATAAGGAGGACAAGCAGAGGGGTGGACCATCAAATAAAAACAGAATTTCAGTACAAAACTTTAGAGAGCAGAGATGCTGTATGTACTGATAGAGGCACAGAGGGACCGGCTCAAGAAACTGCAGAAAGACAATGAACTGATAAAACCAGAGTCTAGAATTATATCAAAAGACAAAAGAGGCCAGGGGACTGAGCCATCTGAAATAAGTATAATTGGACAACACGTCACCAAGGAGCCTATTTCTTCCCTCTTGAAACCCCTGATACAAGGTTCAGAATGGTTCACATTGAGTCCAGAAGAGAAGTATGCTTTTAATTCATATGAAAGGAAAGATTCTCTTCTTATTAAAAGAGCATTCATTGGGCTGGGAATGTGGCTCAAGTGGTAGCGCGCTCGCCTGGCATGCGTGCGGCCCGGGTTTGAAAAAAATTCTTTTTTTCTCTCTCTCTCTCTTTCTCTCTCTCTCTTAAAAAAAAAAAAAAAAAAGAGCATTCATTATTCTCCACTATAGGAATGCACTGACTCCCCACTGCCTGTATAGTCCTGCCTATTAGCAGGTTTTCTCTTTGTGGGAGAAATGTTCCTAGTCTTGGCCAAAATATTTAGGGTCTTTGACCCAGACAATATGTAAGTAGATATGTTAACATCTCCCACATTCTAATCTATCTTTGCTTTTTAATCTTCCAGATTGGCTTGGGCTAAAGCATCTAAAGACCCTAGGATTGCTGCAGATCAACATTCTCCACTGGAGAAAAAGATATTGGTAAATAAGCTATATTCATATCAGACATTTAGGAACTACTTGGAGAAGGAACTTTAGGTGCCCAGTGACACTTCAGGTAGAAACATTACACACTAGTAATGTTTCCCAGATATTTTCATAGTTGCAAAGTGAAATATCATTTTGAAGATTCCCAACATTATATATTTTTAAAGCTAGTTATTGATCATTGGTGGGTACTTAATATTTTATACTTTTGATAGTAATATTGAACTTATTACATTAAAGTAAATTTAAAAAGCAAGTATTAATAAGAAAGGTAAGCTCCTGTTTAAATATGTTCAAAGGAAAAATATGATCACATTATAAAATTCTGAACCTCACTTTGACAGAATCTAGGTGGTGTGCATACAACAGCAGCAAGACACTTGATGAGTAGAAAATGTCAAGAAGAGTATGAAACACTCTGTAGGGAACAAGCTGTTTCTCTTGACTACTGGCTTGCCAAAGCAGAGTCTTATTATAATAAAAGATTAGTGGAAATGTTGAAAGAAGAGAAGACTGGCAATGAAATGAATACAGAAATGGAGGAGAAAACAACCCAAAGCATAGAGGGACAAAAACAGTACTATTGGGTACCTGAGAGAGAGAGGAAACAGATACAAAGGCACATACATCGAACAGGCCAGGCCAGAGAATTTAAAAGCAAAACATTTAGACAACCAAGATCCCTCAGTGCAACAATATTACCAAAAATTAAGCCAGAAAAGCATAGCATCCCAACAGCACAGAGAAGAAAGCAGGTAAATGAGAGAGAACAGATGCAAATTAAAGATCATCAAGAACGCATGATTCGAGGGAGAGAACTTATAGAGCAAAAACTCAAGGAAAGGATTTTGAGGAAAAGTCAGAGCCAGCTACCTACATATGAGAAGCAAGAGAGAATACAGAAAGAGGTAAAAGAGTTTGAAAGAGTTATTGCATATCCACTTTTCCAGCCTCGCAATAGAAGTCGGATTAAGGTGAATATTCTTATGGAAAAGCATCAGAATACAGAGGAAGTGGATACAATTATAAAGCCACATCAAAGAAGATTCTTGGTTGTGCCACCCTTTTTGAAAAGCCAAATAAGGAAAATAAAAGATTAGTAAAGTTTCAATGCTTTTGTGATGAAATCATACCTCTTAAATGAACCTTAATTTCTTAAGAGTTGTCTCTGCTAAGGGTGTAGTCATTGTTCCCATTTGTATCACATGCATAAGTATTAAGAAAGTTCTGAACTTGAAAACTTGCTTAGCTATTTTTGGTTGCTTTGTAATCAAGTTGCTTATGCTTTTCAGTGTTCAATTTCCTTATTTATAAAGTTTGCTCATCCTTTTCAATGTTCAGTTTCCTTATTTGTAAAGTGAGGATAATATTTCATAGAATTTATGGGAGGATTGTGATTTTTATAGAGCATTAATATGTATTAGTTTCCCTCCATGAGAAAGATCTAGCTTGAGTGATGGTGATAAATAAGGAACTTATAAGGAACTTTTTTCATCTGCCTCTCTGATTCCTCCTGATCCCACCCTCAAGATTATCTTGATATTACTATGATTCAAAATACCCCCTTTTATTTAGGTGGATACCTTCATACCTTCATCAGAGAACTACTAACTGGGCCCTAAAAAATCTAAATTGTGCCATATAATTTATTGCATGATAAATTTGATTTTAAGAATCTCCTATTTGTAATGCATCATGTTAATTACTGGGGACGAATAAAATCCCTGCCATTGAGTAGTTTACAATTAATAGCAAAAATCACTCAGTAAACAGATAACATATATGGTGAGGGTTATGACAGAGGTGTGTACAGAACACTGTACAAGAAAGGACAGTAACCCACCTAGATGAGCAGGGTGAAGAAGATGGAAGTCAGAGAAGGTAGTGTAGTAGTCTCATATTTCTTCCAGTTCCACATTTTATCATTTTCTATCATCCACTTAAGTAAGGCTTTCCCTATTTGTGGATTCACTCAGGGTTAAGCAAACTCAGCCTCTCTCAAACACATGCCACTAGTACTTATTTTAAACCAGAAAGCAAATTTATGAATTTAGTGATATTTTAATTACCAAGCACGATGTGATTTATTGTTTTCGAGACAGTCATTTTCTTTCAAGATACCAGAAATTTGTGGAAGCAGTATTCATCATTGGTGAATAGAGAACCACAGAAATGGAAACTAGTTGCCCTAAAGAATATTTTACTTAAATTGTAGTAATCCTGATGCTCACCCTCTTGTACTACTAGTACTCTCCTGACCATGAATATTTCTAGATGTGTATCGAACAATAGAACTTTCAGCAGCCATAGAAATGTTCTACATCTGGGTTCCTCAGTAGATTAGCCACTGACAAATGTGTCTAGTGCAGCCAAAGGAACTAGATTTTTAAATTTTAATTAATTTAAATTTAAATTGCCGCATGTGGCAAGTGACTGCCCTATTACACAGTGTAGCACTGGATAGGATAATCCTGGGTTCCAGATTCCAGTACCACCATCAGTTTTCTGTCTTTGATGGTATTTGCTTCTTTTATTTTCTTTTGCCTCAAAGGATTGTGAGAACTTACATTATTTTGTAAGCCCAAAAATAATGGGCTTAGAGTGAATACATAGTAGTTCTTTAAAATTTAAAAAAATCCAAATGGGGGCTGGGGATGTGGCTCAAGCGGTAGCGTGCTCACCTATCATGTGGGCGGCTCGGGTTCGATCCTCAGCACCATACAAAGATGCTGTGTCTCCTGAAAACTAAAAAATAAATAAATAAATAAATATTAAAATTCTCTCTCTCTCCTCTCTCTATCTTTAAAAAAAAATCCAAATGGGGGCTGGGGATGTGGCTCAAGCGGTAGCGCGCTCGCCTGGCATGCGTGCAGGCCGGTTCGATCATCAGTACCACATACCAACAAAGATGTGTCCGCCGAGAACTAAAAAATAAATATTAAAAATTCTCTCTCTCTCTCTCTCTCTCTCTCTCTCCTTTCTCACTCTCTCTTTAAAAAAAAAATATCCAAATGACCACATGGTAATTGTACATATTTATGGGATTAGAGAATGATATTTCATTATATGTGTACATTGTATAATAAACAGATCAGGGTAATTAGTATATCTACCACCTGAAATATTTATTGTTTCTTTGTGTTAGGAACATTCAAAACATTTTTCTAATAGCCATTTAGAAATACCGTTGTCAATGTATTACCCTCTTGTGCTGTAGAATATTAGAAGTTATTTCTCCTACTAAACTGCCCATCTGTACCCATTCATTATCCTTTCTTTCCATATCTTTTCTCCTCTCTATCCTTTCTAGCCTCTGGCAACCATTATTCTATTCTCTGTTCCTGTGAGATAAACTTTTTAGACTTCACATACAAGTCGAGAGCATGCAGTATTTATCTTTCTGTGCGTGATTTATATTACTTAATTTAATGTTCCACCCATGTTGCCACAAATTATATAATTTCATCCTTTTTATGACCAAATAATATTCTGTTCAGTATATATACCATATCTATTATATTTATTCGCCTTTTAATGGGCACCTAGGTTGATTCTGTATGTTAGCAATGTGAATAGTATCATAATAAACAGAAGTGCAAATGTCTTTTCGACATACTAATTTTATTAACTTTAGATATATATCCAGTAGTGGGATTGCTGGATGATGCATAGTTCTATTTTCAATTTTTAAGGAACCTCCATATTGTATCTTAATGACTATACTAATTTACATTCCCACCAACAGTGTATGAGAGGTCCTCTTTCTCTGGATCCTTATGAGCATTTGTTATTTTTTTTCTTGATAGAAGCTATTCTAATTGGGGTGAGATGATATTTTTTTTGGTTTCGATTTGCATTGCCATGATGATTAGTGATTCACATAGTTCCTGAGAACATTTGTATATCTTCTTTTTTTTCCTATCCAGAACTCATTTTAATATCCAGATCTTTTTTGTTGTTGTTGTGAGTTGTTTGAGTTTTTTAATATATTCTGAATATTAGTTATAATGAAGTCCTATAAATTGATAAGTAAATTCAAGTCACCTATAAGTATGTGTGATATTAGTCTCTTGTCTGATAAATAGTTTGCAAATATTTTCTCCCTTTCTATGTGTTGTCTCTTAACTCTATTGTTTTTTTTTTGTGTGTGTGTGTGTGCAGAAGAATTTAGTTGAATGTAATCTTGTTTGTCAAGTTTTGTTTTTAATGCCTGTGTTTTTGGGGTCTTATCCAAAAAATATTTGTCCACACCAGTGTCCTAGGCATTTCCTTAGTTTCTCTATAGTAGCTTTGAGTTTTACATCTTTGATCCATTTCAAAATTTTTTTTTCTACTACATATTGAACTCAGGGGTGCTTAAGCACTGAGCCACATCACAGTCCATTTTATTTTATTTATTTTATATTATTTTATTTTATTTTATTTAAATTTATGACAGGATCTCACTAAGTTGCTTAGTGCCTCACTAAGTGGCTGCGATTGGCTTAGAACTTGAGATCCTCCTGCCTTAGCCTTCCAAGCCACTGGGATTATAGGTCTTTGCCACTTCACCCAGCTCAAGTTCATTTTTGTATGTGATATAAGATTTGTGCCTAGTTTTATTCTTTTGCAAATGAATATTCAGTTTTCCTAGTACCATTTGTTTAAAATATCATCCTTTCTCAAACGTGTATTTTTGTTAAAAATCTGTTGTGGATTTATTTCTGGGTTCTCTACTCTGAAGCATTGGTGTACATGTCTCTTTTTATGCCAGTATCACACTATTATGATGGTAGTAAAATAGTATGTTTTGAAGTCAAAATTTGCTCATTATTACTTTGGCAATTCTGGGGTTTTTGTGGTTCCATAAAAATTTAAGGAGTAACAGGCACAGTTTCATACACCTGTAATCCCAGCGGCTCTGGAGGCTGAGGCAGGAGGATCCGAAGTTCAAAGCTAGCCTCAGAAACTTAGGAAGCCCGATACAACTTATCAAGACCCTGTCTCTAAGTAAGATATTAAAAGGGATAGCGATGTGGCTCAGTGGTTAAGCACCCCTGGGTTCAATCCCTGGTCCCACCTCCCAAATTTAAGGAGTGATTTCTTTTTATTTTTCTGAAGAATGTCATGGGTATTTTAAAAGGGATTGCATTGAATCTGTAAATCACTTTGGGTAACGTGGACTTTGTAACAAAATAAATACTTCCAGTCTGTGAACATTAAATGTCTTTTCATTTTGTGTGTGTGTTCTCTTCAATTTCTTGTAGTAGTATTTTATGCTTTCCATTACATAGAGTTCTTTCACCTCCTTGCTTAAATTTATTTTCAGATTATTTTATTCTTTTTGTAGATGTCATAAATAGGGCTGATTTTTTTCTGCTACTCCATTTGTGTGTATGTGTGTATACGTATATATATATATGTGTGTATACACACACACACACACACACACACACACACTCTTTTTGTTTGCAAAGTTTCTGCTGATAAATCTGCATTTAGTTGAATGGAGATTCCATTATATATGACTTGATATTTTTCTCTTAATGCTTTTAGAAATCTCTTTGTTGTTGACTTTTGATAGCTCGCTTATAATATACCTTGAAGAGGATCCCCTTTGGTTGAGTTTATAATTGGGATCCTTTGAGCCTTGTGAGCCTGAATGTGCATATCTCTCCCAAGAATTGGGCAGTATCAACTCTTATTTCATTACATATGTTTCTGTACCTTTTTACAACTCTTTTTCCTCTGGAATTCCCAAAATTCAGATGTCTATTTAATAGTGTCTGAAAGGTTCTCAGGCTCTTTCTTCTTTAGTCGTTCTTTATTCTTTATCTTTTTCTTCTTGACTGGGCTCAGAAACCAAAAGATCTGTTATTAAGGTTCAATTTTTTTTTCTTCATACTTGTAATCCCAGCTGCTGTCTAGAAGCTAAGGTAGGAGAATCACAAGTTTTAAGTCAGCCCAGGCAACTTAGAGCCTGTTTCAAAATTTTTAAAATTGAAAGGATTGGGAAATAGAGTACCCCTAAGTTAAAACCTCATTACCATAATTTTTTTTTCTGCTGCTTCATCTAGTCTGTTGTTAGGGATCTGACATATATTTTTTAAATTTTTCATTCACTGAATTTTTCAGTTTTCAAGATTTTTGTTTGGTTCTTTTTTTATGTTGTCTGTCTTG